GGCAATCTTGTTTACTTAAGGTGTGTACAAGAATATGAAGTGGCCAGCATCCTCAAGGAAGTCCATTTAGGCGAATGAGAGATCACTCTAGAGGGAAGACATTGGTGAATTTGATACTTAGGCAATGCTAATTTTGGCACACTCTCAGGAATGATACAGAAGATTTTGCCATAAGGTGGGAGAAATGCCAGAAATTTGCTCTCATGGACCTCAAAGCTACCCACAAGCTGCAACCCATCATGAGCTCTTAGTTGTTTGTCGTTTGGGGGCTCAACCTCCTCAAACCATTCCCATCTTCCAAAGGGCAATGGAAATTCATATTAGTCGCAATTGATTATTTCTCGAAATGGATAGAAGTTAAAGACTCAAACCATTGAAGTTATTCGCTATTTTATTTGGATAGATGTTATTTTTCAATATAGTCTACCCATGGTCATCCTTACCGATAATGGGACATAATTCGTCAACCAATAATTTAAAAATCCCTGTCAAAGCTAGAAAATCAACCTGAAGTTCACTTCCGTTCAAATTCCACGGAGGAACAAGAAGTTGAAGTCACAAACAAATTAATCCTCAACCTGATGAGAAAGAAGGCAGAAGAATTGAAAGGCAATTGGGTCGATTTCCTTTCGTCCACAAACATAGGCCAACACACACCCTCAATTGCGACCGAACAAACCCCGTTAATGATCTCACGCGAAATTAAATTTATATTGTCGGTTTGGTATAGCTTACGCAACCAAAGAGTGGTTGAGGCCTAGGAGTTCGTAGAAGAGAATCTTGATGAGTGGCAATACATAAGCAAGGACGGAAAGAAAATAACACTCAACTTGCGAGAAGAATAGTGCACCGAGTCAGCCCTCAAATAGGAAAAAACAAGAGGATAACAGCACGTTACAACGACACTCATGTATGATAAATGCTTTAAAGAACTGGACTTTATGATGAAGAAGACCTGCCCAACCGCACGCAACCAAACTGTCAAAAAACTTGACCAGACATGGACTAGGTCTTCCTTATTAGGAAACAAGTAGCCCAAAAACCCTACAAGCTACATACGTTTGCCGGAAAAAAGTACCCGAACATGGAGCGGAGATAACATAGATCTATTTTACCCTTAAAATATGTGCTTTGTCACTTAAGACTCACTCAAGCGAACGATTTGTAAATTTTCTTGAAAGTAAAATTCGCTCAAGTCCTATTACGTAGAGTCATTATGATAAGAACATGGTACACATTTAGAAAGATAGTCAACTATTCTCCTAGCGAGGTTGGAAGCCTCCGAGCAGTGGAACCTTGTAGGGTTAGCTTAGCATGCCCCCAAGAAAGTAAGATTAAAATAAAGTCAAAAGTCCCTGGTAGGTGGATAATAGTTCTCACCTAAACAAATAAAAATTGTCCTTCTATCATGGACATGACTCCAACCAAACAAGATTACTAAGTCAATCCTCAATAATTTCTTACTCAAAATAATGTCAAAGTGAATAATTATCGCTCTCACCCCTATACGGATCTCGTAGGGACAAACGCACTCAGATTTAATGAACTCTCCTGCAGAGAGTAGCCTGTTCCTTACAGACTCGACCAAAAGCCATCACAGTTAACTGATAAGTTAAGATAGAATAAAAATCTACTAAGCACATACAAAAAATTTTCCACAAACCGAAAGAAGAAAAGGAGACAGGTATGAGAAGGAAAGTTTTTTTATTTCATTGATAATGAAAGTACAATTACACTCGATTATTCAGTCTTTGTTATTTGGTCGTTGGCCACTCGCTTTCTCTCTCTTCATTTATATTTACAAGATATGGTGGAAAAACTTTTCGGTTATTCGATCCACTTTTACAGTAGCCCTTCAATTGAATCATAAGGCCTACTCCTCACCACCTTTCATTGAATCGAAAGGCTTCTCGTTGACAAACAAATTCCTCAAAACTAAACGAGAAAGTGTATCAAAAGAGAGTGGGGGAAGGAGAGAAGTGGCTATCCACTTCGCCCTAAAGGGAGAAGGGGGTTGGCGACCATCAGAAGACCCCCCGCCAGTTGAGGATGGTAAAAAAGGAAGTGTAGTTGAATAAAGGTTGTGGGCAGCCAGAACAACCAACAAGGGATCTCAAACCCTCAAGTTGTGGACGCCACAGAAAAGGTTACTAGAATGAATTTGACCCAGCAGACCTTTATTCACAAGTGTATCCTCCTTGGAGACTGGACAAACCCTCTATACTCTAGTTGCAACCTTCAAAATCGACAAGGTGACGTTCAAAACCAACAAAATAGAAGTTTTTCCTTTCAAAAAACAATAAAAAAGAAGTTTAAAGACCAAGGTGAGTCGTTTGAATCGTCCTCACCATTTTCCTCAACTTTCTCAGCTGGAGTTCGCTTCTGATAGTTCTCAATTTTATTTTAGGGATATTTTTATAGAACTGGAACAAGAAGTTTAAAGGACGTAAGAAAGCGAGTACGAGTCCTCTGACTCGTCCTTAGTACTTTACTCGACTTCCCCACTAGAAGTTTACTTCTGATAGTTCTCAAGTTTATTTGAGAATTTTTGTTACAAAACTCGGGGGAAAAAAAACCCAAGCAGTTATAGCAGTAAAGGCAGAGGAACCGGTGGGGATATTAAATATTATATTTATGACAGTGATCCATTGATCACCAATCGCACGACATGTCACCATCCAGTGTTCTTCTAGCGGCTACAACAATTCTAATGGGTATTCTCTTTCTATGATCAAAATAGTATCTCTTCTTCCATCGGTCGGATGTCATTGCAATCGAATCCTACACTCGAAGAACTCGATAACTCGTTCAAACAAGAGTTATTTGGCCGAGCAAGCCTTAACAATTTATCGGGCAGATCAACTGTGTTTTTCTAGTTCGACCGACTTCTATCATAATAGTTTATATTCTTATTCTCAAAAGACAGATAGCCCAACAATGATTTTTCTAATTCAGTCATCACCTCATTATATGTTGAATTACTCATCCTATACTGCTCAAGCATTCTAAAACCCATCTATCTTCTACCCTAAAAACACGGGTCAGGCCTTGGGGCTTGACTCCCCCATTAACGACGAAAAACTCCACAATAAGCAGCTCATGAATCACCACATAGATGAATTTAAATAATTACTTATACATAAAAAACTACAAGATCCTCTAAATAGGTCTGGCATAAGACAGAACCTGTTTACGTCAACGACTTAATTGAGAGATGATGGGGTACAGGTGAGGCGAATATCTGCCTCAAAAGATTTTTAGGTCACTCGTCACGATATTCATTGTATGATTCGCTCGTGACAGCTCGCCTAGCTGATTAACGCAGATATCTCAGTCAAGTGGCATCATCCAACTCACCGAGCAGAGTATTTACTACATTTAACTGCCATCAGATATTTTATCACTTTGTTTGTATAGTCGAGTTTTGTAAGTGTCCAACAAATCGTTGAAAAATCTCAATGTACAATTAATCTAAGGTCCAACACTTGTAGAGACAAGAGTCATTCATAATAATAGATATCTCATACCTTTACTTGAAGCACGAGATAAGCAAAGATGGACTAGAGCAATAATAGAAAATGTATAAAATAATTTCATTTTATTTCCTTCAAAAAATTTACACTAAGTTTTTTACAAAATGAAAGCAAGAAAGAAATTTACTAAGAATATCACATCATACATTTGATGAATCTCCATCACTCATGTTCTCACTATCACCTTCCTACTTGGAATCCGAAACTAGCTCTATAAACTTTACTATATTGGCACATTAAAATAAAATCATCGTATACTTCACCATGTGGTCGAGACAGTAGCGGATTCCATTCCAGAACATTACCATAAAGGGTAGCCCTCTGTGCGGCGCTTTATGAGAGCTCCTTGGCAAACTCTGCACGAGTCTTCATGATCATTATGCGCTCCTTCAGCAGCCAGACTTCCTTCTCCAAAGCCTTGCACTGCTCTTGCAACAAGGCATTTTCCACCTCTAGGGCCCTATTAAGCGACTAAGCCACTGTGGAAGAGTTTCCCTCCAACGAGGAGAGCTTGTCTCACACAGATCGGATAGGCTGCCTAAGATTCTTCCTTTTTGTCATATTTTTTCTTCGATGTATGAAGCATGCGCTGATAGGAAGTTAAGAAGGCGTTATCAGCCTGCCACCTGAGCATCTGAAGGCAAGCAACCTCCAATGAAAAGTCCACTGTTCAAACCAACAAAAGTATTGGTCGTGGAGGGAGAAGAAAGGGCAATACCTAGAAGGTAGGCATACCGCGCCTGATGAAGCATCGAGGTGTTCCTGTCCATAGTCCTCTTGAAGAGGGCATACGGCTGCCCTCACTCAACTTCACCACCTCATCTCTCTTCTTCTTGGGACCGACCCATTTAGCACCAACGACTTGGAGGCACCTGAAACTCTGCCCCATTTTGGAGGTGGCTCGTCCTCCAAGGGCCCCTTTCCTTTCCTCTTACATTCCGCCTCCTGACGGACAAGCAACAAGAACTCCTCCTCGTCTTCAACAGTAGCCTCTTCCTCGCCTTCAACAGTAGCCTCTTCCTCGCCTGGAGGCCTATCCTCTCCACCTTCAATAACTGCCTGTGCAGCAGCAGG